CATTACACACTTTTCTAAGATGTTACGCAACACTATATGCACAGATGTTGGACAGTTACATGAAATCATCTTGACTGCGTCAGAACGAGACTTGTGTATAAGGAGTTCCCTAAAATCAGGTGCAAACGCGACCTGAATAAATGTATATAATACATGCATATTATACGAGATTACTAATAGTATATTCATTTGCAAAAAGTTCTTCTGAACTCCTTACAAAATTTCTAACATGTATTCGAAACATCTGCATTATACTTGTACAGAGAGTATTGTATAATCTCCTGTCACTTTAAGGATACTGTGCAGTATGTGATTTAAGCACATTTATTTATTAATTGTAGGAGTTCACTCAAAGTTTTAGACAAATTATTACAGACAATATGTTATAAATTTCTCGTTTCAGTTAACACTTTACATACATTTAGAGACGTTCACTATCTCTCCATTCTCATTTCGAATATTTTACAAAAAACATTTATTTTTGAACACTATGTTATCAACTTTATCAACGAAAGAATTGAATCATATATTTTCAAGTACGAGTACTATTGGAAGGGGGGATTTGAAAAGTTTTATTTACTTAGAATAATTATACCCCACAATAACAAGTGCATTCGCTTAAAACATATCCTAAAGACATGATGTTTGGTCCCTAGATTTTCAATTATTACGGCAATGCAATACTGGTATTCTTTAATAATTTCTTGAAGTTTTGTACGATATTAGTTTACAGGTTGAACTCGAATATAATCTTATATGAAACAGGGTAATAATACTTGTACTTTTATAAGTTTATCAATCATATAAATTAAATGTACATAAAATTTCTGAGTTTTAAATTTTAATATGGCTTTAAATATTTAATTCTTCAGTAAAAGACAACACGTCTATCGTGTTTCGTGGGCTCGGCAGCGAAGAAATGTCTGAATATTAGAGCCAAGTTGCAGCGGAAGGGTCATCCATCAGACGCTTTCCTTCTAAAATTGATTCAACCCTCGTGAAATATCGCTTCATTTCTCCGTCTTGATAAAGTACGTACACGGCACCCGCTCCGCTACAAGATAAGGATCTGCAGCATGCGCCCCCCCGCCCTTCAGTGGTGCCCGGGAGAGGGGGTGCGATAACGGCCCTGGCCGGCGCCTGAATTCGTCAACTGCGGGCAGCCGCGGGGGACGGTGCCCCCCTTCTCCGCAGGGGCACGGGCCCCAGAGGTCCCGGAGAGAATTTATCGCGCTCGTTCGTCAGCTGGAAGGCACTTGCCCCCTGAGCCCGCTACCCTTGCACACTCTCCTTCTGTGCAGCTGCCTTCGGCTAATGCCTTCCTCGAGGGTACACTTTCATTCCGTGATTTTTTGCTGCGAACGCTGAGTTACAGAAACCCGACCCGCTTTAATCAACAGCCCCGCTGGGCCCGTAATTTGAACCTGCTGATAAGAACGGCGGTTCATATTTGAGAAATACTGTAATTTAATTTTAGTACAAGTATGTAGCATTTAGTAATCGTAAAACTATGACATTTGCCCCGTGTCCAGTAAATATTATTGAATCGAACTCAGACGAAAATACTGTAGTCTCATAATGGAGTGTTAATTTGATGCGTCTTAACTCGTCTAAATATTACATCTTAACTTGAGTGAAACCGAGTTTAATTTTTCATCGCTAATACTTCGCAACCAAAATCTACTCAATTTAGAAATTAAGAAATCAAAATTTAATTTTTTAGAAATATACGCTTTCCTTGTAATTTTACTTAGTATACTTTTTATTATAATTAACATTATTATATAAGAGAGCACATGCTAATGAAGAGTTATCTGACAACAAAGTGGAGGTATCTATGCCGCTTAACTTGAAGAATTTTACCAGAATTATCCTTTTTTTCAGGTACTTTTCATATGTTGCAAATCTACAAGTGACCACCACTTTTATTCTTTCGTTGAAACAAGGTATTTGCAGAAGTTATTCGTCGTTAAATATCAATGCCTTTCACCGGAATCCAACATTAGGACCGAGGTATAAGTATCTGAGTACACTAAGTTCAATTTAAACATGCATTATTGCATTTTTCTTAAGGATCTCAAGTAAAACATATTCGTTTGAATTGTGGTGTTTGGAATTTTCAAATTTCGAATTAAACGAAGCCCACTATTCTGTTAATATTTCTGAAAACTTTTGTTCGTGTGTTGTCATTCTGCGATAGTACAAGCAATTCATAAGCCGTGCGAAGTGAAAGGCTACAACGCCCACAGGCTACACTGCGCGAACCAATCGCGTCGTTCATTAGTGGGCGGCGTGGAGCGGTGTCGTAACGCTTGTCGCGTCAATGCGTGAGCGAACGGACGAGCGTCCGGCGCCGCGTGTGCGTGTGCGTGCGTGCAGGGCCACGCGTGCGACTCGCTCACCTATTTACGTGGAACGTGTTCAGCGTGCGTCCAGCCACGCTCCTACTACGCACAATGGTTCGGCGGCGGCGACGGCGGCGCGACAATGTAAATCAAGAGCGTCAGTCACCCCCTCCCTCCTCCGGTTCAACACAATCAAATTGTGTATACGCTCCCCCTATCGCGTCTCTACTGCTTTAGTGCTATCCCTTCTAGTCCCCTCGCCCGCGATCACGCTCCACGCACTCTCTGATTCCCCTCTATCTCTCGTCCTTATTGCCTCACCCTTACCCGTTCCCGCTCCCTCGCTCCTGTCCCTCTCGTTGAGCTCCATATCCGCTCCTCGCTTCCTCTTTCTTTGCTCCTCTCTACCTCGCTTTTACTCACTCCCGCTCCCTCGTTCTCGTCCGGTACCATCACTCCCATACTACCATCTCCTCGCTTCCTCTGTCCCGGCCTAATTACCACAGTTACCCGCTTCCTCTCTCTCATTCTCATCCTGCGCCTTGATTCTCATAACTACTCTCTCTCCGGACCCAATTGCCTAGGCTACTCGTTCCTGCTCCCTTTCTACCATCTCCCTCTTGACTCCCGTCCACGCTGTTCACTCCATGCACCCGCGTTCCCCGCCCTCCCGCCCTTAGTGACTCACTGCTACATATTCCCGCTCTTTCTTTCCCATCCCGCTCTTTGACTCCCAAACCCGCTTCTGGCACCTTCTCCACGCATCCGCTTCCCACACCCACTCCCCACACCTGCTCCTCGTACCCGCTTCCCGCTCCCCACACCAGATCCTCGCACTCATTCCCCCCACACATCTCCTCTCTCCCTCCCCTCTCTCGCTCTCTACACCCGCTACTGCCACCCCCTCCCTCCACCCGCTTCTCCTCACAACTCGCCCTTTTATTAAGTATAGTGCTGAATATCGCAGTGTGAAGTGATCAATTGATGTATTATCATATCTGGAACTCGAATACGAAATAGTATTATTTATCCATCATTTGATGACTCTAATTAAGGTCCGTGTTACTAAAGTTTCTCTTTGGATATACATATGTATTAGAGATTTGTAAACATCTATATTAAATTTACTTAATTTAATATAAATATTATTGTGTATTCCCCAAATTGTAGTGTTGAACAGGCTATCCCAATTTTATATCTTCCACTGATTCCCCACAAGCTTTATCTTTGTCTCTTTTCAGAAACAATACAAACATTCCGAAAAATAGTGTAAACACCTGTTTTTTCTCCCCCCTCATTTTTTCTAGTATTGCAGTTGTTTGTACAAACTCTACACCGGAGATGAAAATATTTATCTCTATTAAAGATGCTCAAAATTGTTGTTTTTTATCTTCCGTAAAGCAAATAAATTCATTGGTGTTGTGGAACACACCCAATGATCATAGGAACAAAAATCACTGTTATTTATAACAGTTTCATTTACTGTTGGGTCTGATAAGGGAAATGGTTTGTTATTTACTGGAGATATGTATGCAGAGGAATTATTTTAGTAATAATATCTGGGTGATCAAAATTAGAGTTTTTATAAATTGCAAAACCATATATGTAGGTGTAGGGTTGTGTGTCTTCTTTGAGGAGACTTTTTCCAGTTCATTTATTGCCAGTTTCATATTAGTTTCTAGGATTTTAATTTTGTTCTTCTGGTTTTATTTTTTGTCATTGAAGTAGCGGGTTTGTAATTGCTTTAGCCATGCCCCATTTGAAGCGAATGGTATCCCGAAGACGAACAGTTTCAAATGACGCAGGCCTTTTATCCCGGGTGGCGACAGGGAAGCTGCGCTGTGATTCGATGGTCGAGATCGATCGCCGTGCGCGAGGTATATTGGGCACACGGATATTGGCCGGTGGTGGCAGTGGCGGCGGTGACTGCAGTGGCGGGCTCTGGCGGTGGTAGCGCATGTGGACGTTGTGGCGGCGGGACAGCGGAGGCGGAGTTAGCGGTGGCGGCGTTATGCGGTGGTGGTGGTGTCTTTGGCAGCGGCGGAGGTGGCGACGTCGGTGGCGGAGGTGTCGGTGGTGGGTTCTAGCGGACATGGTGGTTGTGGCAGTGATGGCGGCGGTAGCGGTGGCGAATTGGGCGACATGACGCCGGTGGCGGTTTTTTGTGGCAGAGAAGTTGTTGTGGCGGTGGCGGTGATGGCGGTGGCGGAGGTGCCGGCGACGATGGCAATGGCGGCGGTGGCGGAGGTGGTGGTGGCGTTGGCGGGGGCGGCGGTTGTGGCGGTGATGGCCCCGGTAGCGGTGGTAAAGGTGGCGGTGGCGGCGAGGGCGGCGGTGACGCAACATGTCACCGCCAGCACACATCGCCGCGTATCGACAGTCGGTCGCAAATCCTGGGCGTTCGGTTCTTCCCCACCACTCCCTGTTCCACTCTGCTCCACTTGGCCCCAGCCCGCTCCGCAGCCACCGCACACGACCACCGAGTGGACCGAAATACCGAAGGTTCGCGCTGCAATCGCCACAAGAAACTGGGGCTTTGCGGGAGCCACGACTACACGTTTTGGGCAAACAAGTCCCCTCTACGCTCTTAGAGACCCCTATCTCTTGTATCCCTTCTGTAAAATGTGCCAAAGAAAAACAATGGTTTAGTATCATTTATAAGAAATAATTGGAAAATCCATGTAAATGTTCTTCTAATGAAAGGATATTAGTCCCCATGCTTGCATTAAATATTTTTAAACTAGCAAAGTGTGTGTTTCTTCGACCCTTAACACTGTGTTCTCGTGCACCATACAACACGGAATGTTTTTTGTACTGTAATTGGCAAATTCAAACATTTTTGTGCGTTTTATCTTATTTACAGAAAGTACTCCCATTCCTTAGCAAGGGTTGATAAACATTCTAACATGTACGCGGCAGTTGGGGTACTTTTTGTGCGTGACCCTGAAAGGTAACTTACGAAAATGAATTGTGCAAATGTGTCTCAGGTATTAAATATAAAATTTTAAAACTAACGTTTTTTTTAAATTTTAACCACATTGTTTTAAATTTTTTAATGCACTTTTCATCTAATTTGATAATTATCGGCTCACACATCACCTTGCTCCACACAGCAGTGTTTCACACGTTTGGCATATGACACGACAATTTTGTATAATGTTGCGTCCTTTGCTTCTTAAACTACAAGACTTAATATACTATTTGTGGACCTTTTCGTGAACTTTAAATATATTCTCTGATGTTCTTTACTTAGGCTTAAATCAATGATCATGAGATATTTCTGAAGGACGGAAGAGGTTTTTATTTGTTTTCAACATTTTTACATGTAGACGTGAAGGCTGGATGATGAAGGAGAAAGATGACCTTTTTTTAAGTTTTCAGTATTCATTGAGTGTTCTAGCATGTATGTTCAAATTGGAGAAGAGTACATTTTACCGCAGTGGTCTTGTGATTGCCAATAAATTGTGATACCCACAGCTGACACCATAAATTTCGGTTATCCAGTAAGTATCTAGCTAAGTTTTCTGTTTAATCTCGTTTTACGTGGCATAGGTAACCTGTAACTTTGAATTCTAAGAAAAAATATTTGCGAATAGATTTAACAGTTAAAATATTAGACATGTGACTTCTGAACCTTGTCGGTTATACATCATTGTACGTACTACTTCAGTGTTTAACGAGGAAAATTGAGAAATGTTAGCAGTCTCATTTTATTAAATGCTATTTTATTTAAGCATATATTTTGCGACTGGGATGATGTAAAGAAACGTGACAATTTCCGGGTCCTGAGCCCGTATTTTTTCTAGAAATCCTTTCAAACCTACCAGCAGCGTGGATCTTGAAAACTTTTGAGAATGTGAGCTTCCAAACTGTCCTTTGTTGTTCGAGGGCATTAACGCACTCTGCAACAAATCATGGTCTTGGTTAATAATGCCTGAAGTTTATCGGTCGTTAGTATGTGAAATAATGTTAGCGCGGATCGCATATGTTCGGCTGAATTAGTTTTGTGGGGCACCTGCCAATTTAGTGTTAATGGTACAAGCGAGGCTTTGCTAATTTAGGAATTCGCGCTTTTCACAAATATTCCGTCTCCATTGGACGTTGGTCTATAGAACTTAGGTTTTGTAAGCCAGTGCGCTTCGTTACTGTAGGGGGGCAGCTGCGTAAACAATTCTTAGATTAACGCTCGCAATAGAACTACCCTTCAAGAAATGTGTTACGAGAGAAGTAAACTGTAAAATAAGTAGGCCGATGCGCCAGCGTTTGCTTTCGTGAAATACGTAATTCATCAATTCGAAGAGAAAAACAAGAAAAAGAAGAAGAAATTGTTGATTTGTCATAATGCGCAGTTAATTTGATTTTTACGGTATACCAATAGAACGTGTTTTTTCAACTTCTTGATCATCACATATTTCATATAAGTAAAGTGAATTTTGCGAACTCTCGTTTCAGTTTGAAAACAAAAAAGAAAAGTGAACTTTTCTCAACCGTTGGGTTATTACACCATTCTCTGCCCCATAAACGCATTCACATTTGTCGCATTTGTGTTTACAAGCGACATCACGACTGTGTTTCAGAAAACAATTGAACTACGCCAGAAAAAACTATCTCGTCGCTCTCGGGTAGAGGAAAATTTCCTCCGGAGAGGTTATAGGAGCAACCGTTCCAAATATGTTTGATTGACTGATTAATTAGTGATTTGTAGTGCGCATGGCATGCTAAGGTAATTAGAAAGTTAGCCGTGAGTGTAACGCATGTTTATCCTAGAGTGGCGGTGGCATCTTCACACACTGGATGGCGAGATCTGGCGCCGAATTTCTCGTCAGCTTGCGAGATTTTTTCTCTCAACAAGGTATCCCCCATAAGCGGGGCACCGATTCACCCGGAACAAGCTCAAAGCTAGTAACTGATCTCCCATCATGGCTGGTAGTTCAGTAAATGTGTGTGGGTGTGTACGTAAGGGGTGAACATAAGACAAGGAAGAGGAAGGAAAGATGGAGCTTGCCCGTAGTCCGTTTGTTAGGGTATTGCTCCAACATTCGCCTGCATTGTACAGATAAACCACGAAAAACTACCGATCAGAGCAACCGGTCTCTAAAATTATTCTCCAGACAGCGCCTGAACTCGACCCTGCTATATACGAGTAGTACGATACGTCCGTAACGTGTTTCGAAAATCCTTCTACCGTAGGGACTTAAACCCTAGGATATCCCAGTTAGAGTCACTGTAGTGACATCAATTGATGCCCTGAGTCACCTAAGGCAGTTTGAGAATATTGAGTAGTCTCGTTAATTTCAGTATCTTTCCACTAATACTGCAAATTCCACAACTGTCCATATCTGCAAAATCCACTACACATGGCTTGATTGTAGGTTGTCTGACAATTGTGAGAAATGTATTACCTCGCGGACGGATATGGCTTCCGATGCTTCCGCATGCCCTCCTACTTTGCAGCCGTTTAGAATTCAGAGCTGACGGAGCAACGCCCACAAAGACCTTGTAAAAAACTGTATTTCCTGTGATACAATCCAAATAGGCTCTAACAACATTTAGAAGTATAAAACTCTGATACTTCCTGAAGTCGACAGAAATAATAATTGAAGTCTAAAGTTTGCTTAATATTCACCCTTGGTTTATAGTGAGATCAATACTAACAGAATTGTCTTCTCTCCCGTTCTGCCAGGCACTGGGCTATATTATCTTTGAAGCAAGGAGAGTGTAAGAAGGAGACTCAAGTCCATTGGTACAAGAATGGTAGTGGGGTGTACGAAAGAAGTCGGCAATTAGTAGGTCTCTCTTAGAATTAGCGGCATCATCGGTAAATTAAGGAACATATCTCGGATTTTTTCGGCCAATAACGACACGCCTAGTGGTATTTGACCAAAGCCATCTATATTTTAGTATATGTAAGTAAATTTACTTTACGTTCATTTGATTTGCGTTGGTGGACCGAAAATGCGTTAAAAGGTTCTCCTATTGACCGCAAAATGTCGCTTAAGCGAAGAGTGCCCGATTAGCTACCCTCACCACCGGAGTTGTCTCTCCTCGTTACAGATTTCGTTTTTGGAGGTAATGTAGCTAAGACTTTTGTCACTTGGACGTAATTATTTCGGACACTATCAATCCACCAAAAACAATTCTATTCTCTTGTTTGATATTCTTGAGTACGATGAATCTCCATATATTGCTCCATTGTACAAGTCACCTTCCACATTCAAAGAGGGAAAGAGGTGGGATGAAGATGGTAGAAAATGTGTTGACGGTAAATAAGGTCCTTGAAAGACGGAAATTGAAATGGGCATGCGATATGCCAAATGTGAAATACTCGTAGTTCTAGTACCAAGAGGGGTGCAAGTTTGAATTACCGTCATTCGCAGATCATGAAATGGAATGTAGTAAAAAATGCAAGAAAAAGTGCGATTATTTACGAAAACACAATGAACTAGAAGCTACAAGAAAGAGGAAAATCACTAGATAAAGTATTTTGTTCTCTGATATATCTTCACGGCAAAAAGTATTGAAAATTAAAATAGAATTTCAAGGAATCTTGATTGTAAACGGAAGTGTAAACGGACTGCATATAATTTTCGTACGTTGTCATAACAGACTTGTTGTTCTTATTTGAACGGGGATAATTATATTATTATTATTATTATTATTATTATTATTATTATTATTATTATTATAAATTCGTTATGTGGAGTGTTCCTGAATAAATGTGAAATCCTTGTAGGATACGTTGAAATGTTAAGAATTACAACTTTTTTCCAATGTACATACGTTGGGAAATTTCATATATCCATGCGGCACTTGCCGTTTTATGTTTTTAGGAACTTCCTCGTGCACTTATATTAGGTAGATCACAATCTGAAAGCCAAGGATTCTTCATGCATCTGCAACACAGATGTGCGTATGTGGTTGTCTAAGAATCAGGGGCAACGGCCACATGTAGTCTCCGTTATATGCACTTTCTCACCATATGCTTAACGACAAAATGTGATCATTTTCGACCGCCTTATGTCCTAGAAGTTTGTGTCATTTATTTTGGGGCGCTCTGCATTAATATCTACAAAATAAGTTTATATTTTTTTCTTTTGGTGGGTGAAATACATGACATAAAACCCACAGGAGTTCAAGAGTTCTTTGTTAACGCTTCGGCCCACTGTTCGTCGTCGATGCTGCTGCCACAGCCGCTGCCGCCGCCTGTTTTGCCAAGAGCCGCCACCTGCAGCCGACCCATCCACGAAGGGATTTATCCAACTGGCTCGAATTTCGCCTCATTTTCGATTGAATTTTGCGCGCCCGAAATGGAACATAAATTAGCGGTCGGCAACGGCGCTCGCCCCTCGCTGGTCGCCGCGAGATGGATGGGGCAACGCGCGGGTGATGGCGGGCGATGGGCGCGACCGTTTCTTGCGAGCGGTGGGCCGCGCGCTGTGCTGCAGTCGATCGCGAGCGCCGCCGTCGCTGTGATGGATGACAGCCGCACTCGGCGGGGATTGAACACGCGTCCTGAAGCTGTTGTGGAGCTCTGGGTATTTGGCTGAGCATTCGTGGGTGAAGTATTATCTACTGCGTGTAGTTTGAGGATTGCTTTTATGATTCTTTTACAAGCTACATTTTCATCTTATACTTTTATAGTTGTTTTATACCGGACCATTGAGAATAAAAGTTACTCTTTTGTAGGATAAATAGGAGGACAAAAATGAACACTCTTTGCCAATAAACGTGTGATGGGAGATCCAATATTACGAAGTTATATTACACACTTTTATATACCGCACTTTTGATTGGCAGGCATCTTATCCTGAACCGATACTTTTTGCCGTGAAGATATATCAGAGAACAAAATACTTTATCTAGTGATTTTCCTCTTTCTTGTAGCTTCTAGTTCATTGTGTTTTCGTAAATAATCGCACTTTTTCTTGCATTTTTTACTACATTCCATTTCATGATCTGCGAATGACGGTAATTCAAACTTGCACCCCTCTTGGTACTAGAACTACGAGTATTTCACATTTGGCATATCGCATGCCCATTTCAATTTCCGTCTTTCAAGGACCTTATTTACCGTCAACACATTTTCTACCATCTTCATCCCACCTCTTTCCCTCTTTGAATGTGGAAGGTGACTTGTACAATGGAGCAATATATTTGGCAGTAACATGATGTTTGGCAGTAACACGATGTTTGGCAGTAACATGATCTGACGCAAAGCTATTTCAAGTACCTACCAAACATGAGTGCGTAATAAATTTCCTACTTGTCAGAGGCAAATGTTTATTTCCGTTATTTGAGATTATTCACTAGATGTTCTCAAAAAAGCATACACCTTCAACTCCAGAACATGATCTAGAAGATTGTAACACTTATTCTTGGACACTTTCATTATTTACTGTATGTACGTAAACGATTGCTCTTGTTATTATATTACACGCTGATTATTCATCCTGCATATTATTTATGCCTTATAGATTGCACGTTTCGATAATCCCATTTCATCCCGTCAACCCTGTAAAAATGAAAATATTTTCGTAATTCACAATTAAAATAAAAAAACATTCATTAATAATGATGAGCATATTGTACTTCTTTAAAAATATTGTAAGGAATCTGTATAATTTTATTGGAAATCGCGTCTGAATTGTAAGAAAAATTGAAACCGATCTTGATCTTCAAGTAGCAATATTTGTGGAGGCGTTGGATGTCATGGTGATTGCTAAGCCAATTCAAGAAAGAGAATACACAATCAGAAATCACTAGAATAGACGTAAACTAGAACATGGAGATCATTTTGAATTGGATAAATAAAAAATTACATATTAATAAATGACCATTTCGAACTGAATTTATACACATTTTTATTTTAACTAAGTTCAGCAAGATATCATTAAACCTACTA